TCTCTCTCTCTCTCTCTCTCTCTCTCTCTCTCTCTCTCTCACCCACACACACACACACACACACACACACACACACACACACACACACACACACACACACACATACACACACACACACACCCTCACCCACACACTCTCCCTCTCCCCTCAGACGATGTCCTGACGATCGTCCCCGTCCCCATCAAGGACTACACCCCACCCACAATGTCCCAGGTGGAAGACTTCCTGGCCTGTGTGCGCAAGTATGGAGACCAGGGAAAGGTGAGCGCTAAAACATGGTGTAGGTGAGCGCTAAAATATGGTGTAGGTGAGCGCTAAAACATGGTGTAGGTGAGCGCTAAAACATGGTGTAGGTGAGCGCTAAAACATGGTGTTGTTGTTGTTGTTGTTATCGATCCAGCAACAGCTGGGCTCTCACCCTTCTGTCCAATGCCATGTAGTGATAAGTGCAGGTTTGCTGCAGTTGCTGTAAAGTTCCATAGAGTGTGTTGTCAATGTTAGGTCTCGGAGGCAGAAGGGTAGCTCTGATGCCATTTAGGGCTGTGCAGTGGAACAGGTGATGATCCACAGAAAACATGGTGTTGGTGAGCGCTAAAACATGGTGTAGGTGAGCGCTAAAACATGGTGTAGGTGAGCGCTAAAACATGGTGTAGGTGAGCGCTAAAACATGGTGTAGGTGAGCGCTAAAACATGGTGTTGTTGTTGTTGTTGTTATCGATCCAGCAACAGCTGGGCTCTCACCCTTCTGTCCAATGCCATGTAGTGATAAGTGCAGGTTTGCTGCAGTTGCTGTAAAGTTCCATAGAGTGTGTTGTCAATGTTAGGTCTCGGAGGCAGAAGGGTAGCTCTGATGCCATTTAGGGCTGTGCAGTGGAACAGGTGATGATCCACAGAAAACATGGTGTTGGTGAGCGCTAAAACATGGTGTAGGTGAGCGCTAAAACATGGTGTAGGTGAGCGCTAAAACATGGCGTAGGTGAGCTCTATAACTTGGTGTTGGTGAGCGACCATATATGGTACATGTTTAACGCCCCTATCAACACTATTAGGTTATTTAAGAGACAAGACCTTTTAGTTTAACGTCCATTTCCGAAAGGACCGAGCCAAATGGAAAATTCATGTAAAGTGCCTTTCCCAAGCACACAACGTCGGACCAAGCTGAGGCTTAAACCTCTGAACCCACAATCTCACGACAGTTGAGGTGATCCAAGATGGCCACATGTTATTGGGGAGAAAAGTTGTCTTTGACAGTACCACTACAGTATATAGGAAAGAAAACAGAGGGGGGGGGGGGGGAGAAAAAGAGAGAGAAAGTGAAAATGAAAGCAGCTGACAGAACATGACTAGAGAACGAGAAAGGAGAAAATTTTAGAGAAGAATTTTTTCTCGTTGAACTCGGCTGAAAATGACGTACACATTTAACTTATGAGTGTGACGCAGTCACGGTAACTAAACAAATAGAAACGTTTCAACAATTGTATTGTGTGCTCCCTCCACCAGTGTGTGTTTCAACAATTGTAATGTGTGCTCCCTCCACCAGTGTGTGTTTCAACAATTGTAATGTGTGCTCCCTCCACCAGTGTGTGTTTCAACAATTGTAATGTGTGCTCCCTCCACCAGTGTGTGTTTCAACAATTGTAATGTGTGCTCCCTCCGCCAGTGTGTGTTTCAACAATTGTGATGTGTGCTCCACCAGTGTGTGTTTCAACAATTGTAATGTGTGCTCCACCAGGCGGTGTGTGTTTCAACAATTATAATGTGTGCTCCCACCACCAGTGTGTGTTTCAACAATTGTAATGTGTGCTCCCACCACCAGTGTGTGTTTCAACAATTGTGATGTGTGCTCCCTCCACCAGTGTGTGTTTCAACAATTGTGATGTGTGCTCCCTCCACCAGTGTGTGTTTCAACAATTGTGATGTGTGCTCCCTCCACCAGTGTGTGTTTCAACAATTGTGATGTGTGTTCCCACCAGGCGGTGTGTGTGCACTGTGCTCACGGCCTTGGACGCACGGGCACCATGCTGGGATGTTACTACGCTCAGACCATGAAGCCAGAGGCTGCCATCAAGCATGTGCGTCAGCTCAGACCCGGCTCCATCGAGACCCCAGAGCAGGAAGCACTGGTGCACCAGTTCTACGACTACCGTCTGGCCAAAGGCAAGGCATAGACACAGAGGAGGGTGTCATGCGGCTTACACACATGCATGATATAATTTTGTAAATACCTATATTGATATATACATATATATACTTATATATAGATATAATATACATTCATGAATGATGATAGGC